TGAAACTGCGGAGTGTATTGCAGAGGCATTGGAGCTGTTTCGGCAATGGTGCCCAGATCTTAGTCCCAAGTTCTGGATGGTTGATTTCAGCAATGCCGTGATTAATGCAATTTCCTCAGTCTTTCCCGAGAGCCGTGTTGCTCTTTGCGACTTTCACCGCGAGCAAGCTTGGGAAAGGTGGTGCAGAAAGAGGGAAAATGGGGTAGCTGACAAAGACACTGTTGGGTCTCCTTCGTAGACTTACGCATGCCAGTTCTGAAGACGATTTTAATACTGCACTCGAGTGCCTCAAAGCTTCCACCATCTGGAAATGAAATCGAAAGCTGCAGAGCTATGTGGAGGCACAGTGGTTGAACGTAAAAGAAATGTGGGCTTCCTGCTTTAGGAGTGAGCTGACTGTTAGAACTAAGAATGGAACAGAAGCCCAAAACAAAATGCTCAAAGAGCACTACTTGAAATGCCACAGTGGACGAAAGAGCCTGACAGGTCTGCTGCAGACGATGAAGACTTTTCTGAGCGATAGAGATGCATTTCTTAAGAAACAACTTGCGCTTCTCCTCAGACTACAGTTTACCACTTGTCTGTACCAACATTCCTGCACAACAGGCCTCCTGCTGTGGTCAAACACATAATGGCAAGGCTACATGCTGTCGAGGACATTGCCGCGGACCGCATAACAGATGAGCCTAGTGGCATATTTCACGTTCAAAGTGCTGCATCGGCAAAAGCTTCTTACCTTGTGCAGTTCTCCACACCGAGCTGCAGTTGCCCAGATTTTCACAAGACGAGACTGCCCAGCAAGCACTTCTGTGCCATATTTTTGCACATCCAAGATTGGTGCTTCGACAGGCTGCCTGCCTCTTATAGGAATGGCCCATTGATGAGCCTTGACAGCTTAACTGTCACAGATGTTGCAGTAGCAACCCCATCGGAAAGCTGTGGACATGTTGCGGCTAACGCGAGTGAAGAGTGCAATGCTACAGACACTGCACTCCCAGACTTGGAACGTCGGGAAAAGTTGGGAATAGGAGCGCTGAAAGCAAAAGTCCCAGCCAAATTTGAAAGGGGAAAAAGCTTATCCTACTAATGCACCAGCCAAGATAATGTGAATAAAGTGCTAGAACTGCTTGGAGAGTGCAGGTCCCTGCTTCAAGAAGGGACACCGTCTGTTGGCAGTCTGGGTCTGCGTGGCTCACCGGCCAAGGGGTGCTCCGGTCAGCGCAGACGACAATCGGGCAACTGCAGAGTGTCCAATGTCTACAAGCTGAAACGACATCACCCTCTTCACCAAGAGCATTGGCATGCACGGGGACGTGTTGGGGAAAAGGCAGCCATGCTGCGAAAAACATACAATGTTGCAGCAACCATGAGTAAAGATTAAAGATGGGGGAAAGGATTAAGAGATCTAAAATCTTTAGATATTCAAATTTCACATGTTCCAAATTGTAATATGGTGCATTCTGTGGGACATGGTTGTCCAGCGAATATTCCCTTAGGACCATCTACAACCTTTTCTTGCTTTGTGTCTGTTTGAAGGAATGAATGACATGTTTCCGATTTCTATAGTACCATTATGTACTTACTCCTTGTATTGTACACCCTTCCCGGTACCCTCATCGCATTGCAGAACGGTACAGTATCCTGTGCGACTTGTTGGCACAAACACAACATTCATGCTTTGTTTCACTTCACTCATACTGATTAGTGCTGGAGAACATATTTTACCGTCTAAGTAGAGGCCCGGCTGGCCCACACTAGCTCATTCCATTACATAGTATCCAATTGGGTGAGAACTATTCAGGTTTGAAATAAAAACTAAAATCTGGCAACTGCGCGTTTGTGCAAGCTGTGTCATGCTCTCTACATATGAAGCCACCGCCTAAAGTGCACCGAACGTGTTGATTATTTAGTTTCCTCACCTACCTTTTTTTTTCCGTAAATCATCAGAACATTCTGTGGTGCCGCAGTGAAACGTAGGGGGTACATGCACGTAGCATTGAAAGCTCTTTAGCGATACATGAACAATTTTTTTTTTACTCTGTAGTTTAACCAACCGAGAGACATACCTTACAAACATGCACTTTCATACCAGTACCAAACACAGTACTGTGTGCACTTGGTACACCTCCATATTTTGAGTAAATAAACGTCCTTTTTGCGTGGAATACTGTTCACTGCACAGAAACCTGTCCATAAGTGCATTTCAAACGTGCCTATAGACCCTTTTAGCGTAACTCGTCATCTCTAAAAACAACATAGTCATGCTCTACAATAACCGAGTGCCCGTAAGTGCAATAACGACAGATATCTTTGCACTTTCAAGAAATGTTTATGTAACATAGAAACTTGAGTGATATACAAAAAGGAACCTATACTTCGTCTCATCCTGGCATGGACTAGCCTGTGAGGGATACTACAAGCGCGAGCCCCTTGCGTTGAATCGTACTACCTCGGCTGCACGAGCGCACGTGCACCGGGAGTATCAAAGCTACTCGTTCGCGCTTGTAGGCTTTGCAATTAGTCAATCTTAGGATGAAAAGAAGTGTAGAATGAAGTACGTACTCACAAGTCGGTACACCTGCGAGAGCAGCCGCCCGACCACACAAAACAGATATAATAAAGCGCGAAACACATGTACGACGAAACCGTCCGATCCGACGTGCGGACTGCCGGAATGACCTTGGGGGGAGAGGGTTTTCGTAGCATCGGAGAGCGTTGAAAACCCTCGCCTCCGACCATCGTATTGCGCGGTCGGACGTCGGATCGGACGGTTTCGTCGTACATGTGTCTCCCGCTTTAATATTGTAACGATGCCGACGATGCGTGCGACGTGGCCAACGTGGCTGTCAAAACCTGCTGAAACCCAATAGACGGCGCGGCAAATTACAAAAAAAAAAAAAAAAAAGACGCCAATAAAAAAAAAAAAATAAACGCAAAAAGAATTTAAAAACTTATAAACCTACACATTAAAAAAAGAAAACATAAAGTTAAAACTAAATAGTACACTTAAGTTTTTACCTAAATAAAAAAAAAACGTCACTTCTGGTTTTGCTTTTGTTTATGTTTTGTTTCCGTACCAGAGCGACATCCGTAAATGCCGTAAATGCGCTCTCCTCTCCCGCGAGCTCCTTGCCCGCGAGTGAAGCCACTGGACGGCCATCTTCCTCGTAGAGGATTTGCGTTTTTGCTAGCGCTACAGAGGCTGGCGGCAGCGCGCTGAAGACACGTTTTCCACTCGTTCGTTGTCATTCGTCGAAGAATATTTTTAAGGTCCTGTGTAAGGGTTGAGACTTGCCGTTGAGAATACGTGAAAATGTTTACGAATGCGCAGTGCAGCAGGAAAAAGCCACAAAAATAAATAAAGATATTCTACTACTGATTTGATTGCCATAAACGTTTAGTAAAAGAAAGCAAAACAAAATTGCGGTGGCTTAGCTCGGCTATGCCAGGATATACGTAGCGTGAGCTTATGCGCACAAAATGAGAGGCGCTATAAAGCGGCTCCGGTGCAGCGTCATACTTGGCTACTGCACAACGGAGGCGCACAGCTGGGCACGCGGTGGCGCCAGTGCGTCTGCCGCGGCTATGATGTCACTCCTCTGGAATGTGCAGACCGGCGAGACGCGCGCGGTGTCGGCGGAGCGCGCGGCGGCGGCGGCTCCGGCACGCCAGCTGTGTGACGTCACTGCTCCTCGCGCATGCGCAGACCGGCGAGGCGCGCGCGGCGGCGGCGTCTCCGGCGCGCCAGCTGTGCGCCGTGTGACGTCACTGCTCCTAGCGCTTGCGCAGCACGGCTCTTTGGGAGCCACGTGCAACTGCTCAACCTCGGCCAGTGTAGCTAACGCAAAAAAAAAAAAAACGCTCCGCTGATGCTGCCCCCTTTCTCCCTTCTTCCGTCGCCACTGTATCAAATTCATTTCTAGTCTGCGAGTGCCGCAAGTTACAAATACGCTGCCCAAAGGTACATACAGCTTCACCACTCGTTGCATTCGCAAAACACATCCACACGGCGCCGAAACGAATCTTGATCGGTATCCAAACGTGTGAAACAGAGACGCAGCACTTCGGCGTGCCAAGGAAGCTTTGTTCATCACGATCATCTGGTGGGCTAGTTGGTTGATCATATTGTTGAATTAACAGCGCAAATACGACAAGGGAGACAGGATAGAGCGCTGAACTTTATTATGCATGTTTTAAAAGCATTCTTGGGTTCTTCTTCCTCTTTCTCCTTTTCATTAAACGTCAGTTGTTAGTTCAGCGCTCTATCCTGTCTCCCTTGTCTCTCCTTCCTTGTCGTATTTGCGCTGTTAATTCAACAATAAACTTTGTTCAGGCCGCGAGACCGGTGACACTTGCTTTCGACGAGTTTTGCCTTTATGTACGGCTTCACGCACATTGCGCTCGCAAAACACATCCACACGACGTCGATTCTTGATCGGCATCCAAACGTGCGAAGGCACAGAGACGCAGCACTTCGGCGTGCCAAGGAAGCTTTGACCCAGCCGCGAGACCGGCGAAACTTGCTTTCAACGAGTTATGCCTTTTTCTTGCGACACTGCGCTTTCGTAAAATTTTTCACGTGTTCACAACGGAAAGTCTCAACGGTTGCACAGAATCGTGAAAAAACTTCTTCGGCGAATGACAACTAACGGGTAGAAAACGTGTCTACAGGACGCTAGAAAACTACAGCAAAACGCTAGCAAAAACGCAAATCGCCTATGAGCAAGGTGGCCGTCCGGTGGCTGCACTTACGCCACTTACGCTGCAGCGAACAACGGGGAAGCGCGATCAAATAGCCGTTTTGACGGGAGATGTCCAAATAATTAGGCAACTTAACTATCTTCATGGTAAACTCCAAAATAATTAAAACATTTTTTTTGTTTTTGTTAGAGTAGTAATTTAACGATATAAAAATAATATTTACAGTTATCAGGCGCTCGCCTAGTTTTGTTCGACTTCGCGCACGCGCGCAAAGCGCTGACGGAGCAACCAAAATACCCATAAGGCTGCAGCGCCGACGACAGCCCCGGATGTGTCATGGCGTCCAATTATGTGCCCGAGGTTCTAGCGTTCCTATGGTCCCCGTAAATTAGGATATCAAATACGATCATTTACTGACCATACACTCCTACCTTGTCCGAGCATTAATGGTAATGCATGCAAGGAAACTTCCAAGGCTCAATGATGGGTAGGAACGAGTTCACTTGGCTGGAACTACCGATGTGTCCAGCTGCGGCGCCATGTTTTCGTTTGTTGTCAAAATATTTTAAGGAATCCCTCTGTCGTTACGATTGTACATAAAGCGTTCGTAGCCCGACGCTATCATTTTTGCCTACAACTGGCGCCATAATGCGTTGGGTGGCTGTTTTTGCAGGTACTTTGACAGAAATCAGGCCCATCCTTACGAGGTTAGTACCCGTGAGAGCACGGCTTGGCAACCCATCATTTTGTTGCTAATCCAGTCACCGTCTGCTTTGCACCGTGCCTAGTTAGCGCACCGGTGCCCCGACTTTGAGCAGTGTATTGCCTTGGTCGGGGTCTTGCTGTCGTTCTCTTTGACGATAAGGAAAGATTTGGGAAAGGGGGGGGGGGGGGGGGGGGCTATGCCTACATTGTGGCCTCTTCGGCTGGTGCGTCGGTTTCTAGTGTGCATCGGGCTGTGCAAAAACAGTTAGAAGCCGCCGCGGAGCGTTCGTCGACCAGCGGGACCTCACTTGGTCCGGCATAGCCCCTCTCCAGAGCTGTGGCGTCGGATGGCGGGGATGTCCAGTTGATGGAAGCACAAAAGGTCCGGGCTGCTTGTGAATTATTGAAGTGACGCTAGGCCTCGGGAGCTGTGCTCGCGCGTTCCCCGAGGTTCGGCCCGAAATCTGAGGTGATCCTCGGTCACACCTCCGCGCGATGCGGGCGAGCCCAGCGGTCTGTGCTGGGTTCGCCCACAGTGGAACCCGCCGCCGACGAATGCCAACCCTGGCGCGATGACAGGTTCCTTTCCCTGACTGTGCAGAACTCTAGCAAGTACAGCTCCAAAGCAACCCTTGGAAGTCGCTACAACGACAAGGTTCGTGAGTCGCCTTCGAATGGAAGCAGCCATGGCCGTATGGGCAGCCCAGACAGCAGGCATAGCTATCACAAGTCATCGTACAGCCAGAGACCCAAGGAACGGGACCACGAACGAGGTATGGAGCCTTGCTTTCTCGTGGTAGGTTGGCGGCACGCCAGCCCAACATGCCCCCGAGGCAAGCGACCACTCCCACCTGCGGCCCTTTGAGGAGCTTGCGTGTGGCCAGGTGCCTGGGTGGCCCACTGACGCGCAAAGCCCTGGCTTGTTTCTTGTGCGGAAGCTGCCAGTTCTGAACCACGGTTGAAGGGACACCAGCGAGGTATTTGTGCATGCCGAGATTAACACCATCTGCAGAGGCCCAACTATCTGTTCAATTGATGCTAGGCCAAGAAGTATTTGTCACTTAATAAGTACTGATTAGGAATTGGGTGTTTGCTGCTTCTGCTCGCTTTTTTTTTTTCAGTCCTGTTCAGTAATGCGTCCGAAACGTTTTGCAGTTTTAGGTTATCCATTGAATCTATGGATGCTTAAGTCTAACGAGTTGAGAGTGGCGTCTCTTTGGAGCAGCACTGACTTGTGGCCTTCGGCCGTGCTTTAACTGCATTCATATGCTTGAGGCTCACGAGGTGCCCAATCGTACTCGAACGCTGCAAGGGGAACAGCTACTGCCTGCCATTCGTATCCTGTCCGCGACTATAGTTTGTATGGCCACACCGAAAATATGCGCATTTCGAAACAGTTTGAACAAGTAGAGTGGAAAAGGGAACCACCTGAGAGACTTGAGGAATCCGACATCCCTTTCATTTGTCCCCTGGTTCTGGTCTTCTTTTTCTTGCTGAGTACAGTGAACAAATCTTTGGACGATGTCACCATAACCGAGAGTTGAAATGGGGTTTATTTCTGGAGCGTGGCCTTAAAGGAGCTGTTCACCAATTTCAGTGCTTTGCTTAAATAACTGTGGGAGTTGGTGTCTTGACTCTTCTGAAGTAAAGAAGAGTCAAGCATGTCCTAGTATTTATTCAAAAAAAAAAAAAAAAGAAAGAAATATTGAGGTTTTTTGCATTTCTCACCTCCTTCACCACCTTTCGAGTCACGTGCACTGTGATGTGAAAGGGGGACGCGTGAGGTTCCGGTGAAGCTCTCCCTCTGGCGCCATCAGTAAGCAGTGAGAACTCGCTTGCTCGCGATCACGTGGTCGCACCCGATTGGCATTGCCGATATTTGCGGCGGCATTCGAAGTCGAGGCATTGGAAAACGAAAGGAAAAAAGTGCCAACATGCTCGTCCAGGTCCGGCTACAGGTGGCTCATCGCGGTAACAGATAGAGCTGACGGTTTTGTTGACCTCACAGTGGTGGAACTGCTGCGCCAACTGTGCCAGAATGAATTACTTCTACACGCTGCTCCAAAGGTTGTATTTGTGCACAATTTGCGCCATGTCTGCGCCAAAAGGGAGCTGTTTTCAAAAAGAAAAGTGGAAGTGTCTTGCACGTGACATTGTTGGCGATGCCACTGAAAATGAAAAAAGTACAGTTGTTTTTTATGCCTAAGTACTATGTGCGAAATGTAGGGCTGCGCGAATATTCTAATTTTCTAATAGTAGTTTCAAATAATACGTTATTTGATATTCGCTTCTAAATGAACTGCGATGTTCATACTTTTTGAAATGTTGATTGTGGCGGGTTATCCCCCTCGAGTGCGCTTCTCCTCAAGCACAGGTGCACTGCGAAGAAGCAATACCCGCGGAGCGGACACAGCGATCTCGCGACTCGCTTCGCCGCAGTGCAGCCTCACGCTTAAAAAGACCCTAAAAAAAAAAAGTTTTTTTTTAAACAGTTTGATTGGGATATGCGTGTCAAAAAATTAATTTTACGCAAAAAAAAAAAAAAAAATATAAGAGCAATATTGACGACGCGATTTAGTCAGTCACCTCCTGTCTACTTGTTTTCTCTAGGCATTTCGGGCACGTGGAGGAGAGGTAGATCGGCTTCACCTTCACGGTTGAGGTGGAAAGAGTGTGATCATTATTTTTTTATATTCAGAAGCGAAGAAAATATTTCTATATAGGTATAAGATTTATAAAACCCCTCAATGGCTGGGCTCCTTTATAGGTCTAATTTTATGTCGTATCTCTTTTCCTTGCCATCCCAATGTAGGTACTGGACTTTCTGAGGCTACAGTCTATAATTTAGCTCTGTTAATTAAATTTAACAGAGCTCATGAGTTGTCAATTAGGAGCTTAGGAACAACCTTCGCGAATTCAGCTGAATTTTCGTTTGAGCATGGTGTAACAGCAGTAAAAGGCATGGAGAGAGGTGCAACAGCTCTTCAATATTCAATTTAAAAACATTCGGCCATAACTACTATTCACTTTGAATTTGCTTCGAAACCAAAATCCGTTATTTGCACGTGCCTAACGAAGAGTTGTCAGTTTTTGTGCGAACGGTGCTCACATTGATTGCAATGAATAGCTAGCGCTACTCGTGATCGGTTGGTGTAGCTATGTGCTCCGCTTACTGCTCTATGAACAGCAGCAGGTTGAATACGAGCGAGGGCAGTGTGAGACACATTCAACACAAAAGTGTCAATTTGATGTCGAACTCGCGACAATTACGTCACCGTGATACAAACCCTAAAATATACCCAAAACATCTTTTTACGTCAAACACAAATCGAAACGCCATCGATACTCCTAATAGGTTAATTGAGACATCTACGAATTTCCGTCGTATGATTGTTCAATAATGAAATATCTGTAGAGGCCAAGTCCCCTGTAGGCATAACACTTTAGCCTCCCAACATTCCAACAACTGCAGGTTTTTCCATAGGCTAATTTTCAAAGAGAATGTATAAAATTTTCTGACATGAGAGCTCAAAATTGTTCTCCAAAAGTGGGAATTTCTGCTCCGAAACCCATTTTTTCTTGCTACAAGAGCTGCTCCGATTCATCGCTTGTCAGTTCCACCATTGACCTCAGATAGGTGGCACCACTAAAACTCTGTATAACAAAACTCTTGTCTACGATATTAGGTTTTCGACACATATATATTTATGTTGGAATGACAAGATTTATAGAAAAATAAACTTTTATCGAGCAGGTAGTTTCAAAGCTTGCCATTTTTTTACAAGTCCCCCTTTGGCGACACGACGCACGCTCACGGCTGCAGACCGGGACATATTATTTTTACCTCGCGACTACGCGGCAGAGTTGCAACATTTCGAAGGAAGGAGACGTGTTTTCTGTCCTTCGTGACGAGATAAACAATGTTAAAAGTACAAGATGCAAATTCTTTCAACGTTAAAATTGTTGTACAGCTCCTGTAAGACTCAGGGGGAGCTTGGCAGTGGGGCACATGCCCAACTTGGGACCGGTGCCTGGCTAGTTGTCTGTCCTTTTACGTCGGTCACATTTGTGATACAAAGCTCGGAACGTTTGAGGTGTAATTAACGGTTGGAGTACTGTATTTACTCGTGTAATAGCTGCACTGTTTATGAACAAGGCCCTTGCGTCTGCTTTACCGCAGAGCACATATACATCCAATCATCGCATTGCGCAAAAATAACATAGCGAATAACTAGATCAAGAACACGATTCTCCATACAAATACAATCTTCAGAGATGGTATCTTTGCACGAAGCAGTGATGCGATTGGTGCGTCAAACTGCGCCAAGGGGCTATCCCTGCTACATCCTACTACATTTTGCCAAAATATGGGTAATCTGTGCCAAGCCTGCGCCAAAGGACCAATTTAGGCCGCCTTTCAAAGCCGAAACTAAATTGACTACCGTAATTGAGCATGCGTGAGCTAGGTGGCGCAAGCGGCCGCCCGACACAAAGTACCCTGCTTCAATCGTCCATCCGGTCTTGCATGGTTTTTCCCGCCTTCTCAAGTTTCGCGCTCCCGTGGATCTCGTCTAGGGTAATTTTTTAATTCCTTCAACATTAGACACGGACGTGTGCGGACGCTCCGATGCTAGCGTTCATGGTACCAGCCATGCCGTCATGCTGTGAAACGAAACCACGTTTTTGTGCTGCGGGAGTTACTTTGTGAGCTGAAGCCTTCGCTTCTGAAAGCAACGGCCATGACGAAACTATATTTGGTCCCTGCCTGCCAGTCACCCCGGTCGCACGACGTCTGGTGTTGCCGTCTCCACGTCGCTGCAGATATGGCGCTTTCTAAACTAAAACATATATACCTCCACATGTCCATCAACATTTCTGTTCTTGTTTAAATCATATGCTGCTACAAAAATCCCTCTTTAACTCAAAGACTGCTATGCCGAAGTATTGATTACCTAGGTTTCTCTCGGGCTTTCTTTTGAGGGGGACCCCGGTGCGGTGAAAAATCTAGCGTGAAAGAAAGTTGGTGAAGAGAATTGAGCTATAGCAAAGAAGGTAATATCTGCACACTGAACACTCACAGCGTGCTTGTTTGTCTCGAGTGCAGTCGTTGCACAAAGCGCTCCAAGAACTTTTTGCTCGCGATGTCTTGCATTGATGCGCTCAGGTTCTTTTTTTTGTTTGCTTACTTTAGACGAAAATTTGTCACGGCAACCAGTAAAACGAAAGTGTTTTTTTTTATAATTGTTTGGCAACGCCCACAGCACTGATGTAGGATGTCTCGGCAGTAAAAACAGAAGCTGCTAGTTCCGTCACAGTACGTCACATGACAACACAACACAAAGTGTCTTTCGTTTGTCCAGCGCATAAATCGAATTTGTTTTATTTTTTAAGAATATCTGCTCCAAGAACTACTTTTGCTGCTCCGAAACGCTGTTCTGGCTGCTCTACAAGCTACTTTTGTTGCTCCAAAATGCTGTTCTGGCTGCTTCAAAGGCCACTTTTTCTGCTCTGAAACACTATTTTGGCTTCTCCGGACGGTGCTCCAAAATGGCTTAGGCCAATCACATCACTGCAGAAAGACATTATCTCTGTCCTATAAACCGCTGGAATCATGCTGCCGATCGCGGTGATTGGCAAGCCGCATGCTCTACGGAAAAGCGAACCCTCAGGTTTTCTTCATAAACAGTGTGGCTATAACTCGAGTAAATACGGTACATCTTTGTCGACTGATATTATAGAATCCACCAGTCATATATTTGTGACCATGAAAACT